TGATCAGAGATGCAGCCAAGAGGCCCACGATCACTCTGGATGAACTGCAGAGATCTACAGCTGAGGTGGGAGAGTCTGTCCATAGGACAAAAATCAGTCATACACTGTACAAATCTGGCCTTTATGGAAGAGTGGCAAGAAGAAAGCCATTTCTCAAAGATATCCATAAAAAGTGTTGTTTAAAGTTTGCCACAAGCACCTGGGAGACGCACCAAACATGTGGAAGAAGGTGCTCTGGTCAGATGAAACCAAAATCAAACTGTTTGGCCACAATGCAAAATGATATGTTTGGCGTAAAAGCAACACAGCTCATCACCCTGAACACACCATCCCCACTGTCAAACATGGTGGTGGCAGCATCATGGTTTGGGCCTGCTTTTTGTCAGCAGGGACAGGGAAGATGGTCAGAATTGATGGGAAGATGGATGGGGCCAATACAGGACCATTCTGGAAGAAAACCTGTTTGAGTCTGCAAGAGACCTGAGACTGGGACGAAGATTTATCTTCCAACAAGACAATGATCCAAAACATAAAGCCAAATCTACAATGGAATGATTCACAAATAAACGTATCCAGGTGTTGGAATGGCCAAGTAAAAGTCCAGACCTGAATCCAATCGAGAATCTGTGGAAAGAGCTGAAGACTGCTGTTCACAAACACTCTCCATCCAACCTCACTGAGCTCAAGCTGTTTAGCAAAAAGAATGGGCAAGAATTTCAGTCTCTCCATGTGCAAAACTGATAGAGGCATACCCCAAGAGACTTGCAGCTGTAACTGCAGCAAAAGGCGGTACTACAAAAGTATTAACGCAAGGGGGCCGAACAATATTGCACGCCCCACTTTTCAGTTTTTTAGTTGTTAAAAAGTTTGACACATCCAATAAATTTCATTCCACTTCACGATTGTGTCCCACTTGTTGTTGATTCTTCACAAAAAATTAAAATTTTATATCTTTATGTTTGAAGCCTGAAATGTGGCAAAAGGTTGAAAAGTTCAAGGGGGACGAATACTTTTGCAAGGCACTGTATCTGATAAACTGATGTCTGCCACACTAACATTTAACATGCTCTCCTTTATACTTAAACACAAGTTACACTTGTGGTTGATGGAAAGGTCAGTTCTGTATGGGTCTGATTTGGTCCCTTTCTGAAGAGGCCAGCCTGCAGGCATGTAGTTCAGAGAATAAGAGACTTCTGGTACATTAATGTCTTTAAATCCAACGCCTGACCATAGCTGTCTGCACTAACGCTCAAACAAAGCCAGCCTGTGGGTAAACTTCAGCTGTGGATCAGCAGATCCTCCTGTTTTCTTTACTTCATGACTGGAATGACGTTTCAGTTTAGGATTTGACTTTGATGAGTGGAATGCAGAGATTTTAGTGCCCTTTCTGAGTTATATGTCAATTGTCTTGTTACTTTACAAGCATGATCCATTTGAAGCCCGCTGGGCTTCTCTATGAAAGCACCGGCCTCACTGGAAAACGACGGTCATTCAAACAGCACCGTAAATCACATTTGGCCAGGGGGAGTAGAAGTCCATTTTCTTAGCCAATACCACAACACATAGACCTTTCCTACAATATATGAAGCAGCCCGTGGGTTTGTCTGACTGAAGTGAACAGGACATGATAGAGAACTGCCTGCAGAGGAAAGTCTCTGGGTTAATTGCTGCCTCAGTTCTGAGTTATAACGGGTGAATACATCAAGCCCAGTTACTTTAGAAAACAGGAACTTTGTTGAGTGAGCTGAGCTCCTGCCCATCTGGCTGCTGAGCACTCGTCACCTCCTCCTACAGCCTAAAGCAGGGGTTCTCAAACATTTTGGGTTCAGGGATGCCTTACAGAGAAAAAAAGTTTCAGAGACCCCCCTCATAAACCTCATGTTTATTAAATAATTTTCTTCAATTTGTCTCTTTAATGCAATGGAAATGTTCGTTTAACATAAATACTTGACCTGTTCTTTAATAGAGTTAATACAATTTTTTATACTTTTAAACATGGGGTATTCTTCATTCAGGCCACACTTTAACAAAATCTTTAATTTTAACTTCCAAAAATTAGTTTTGAGAAAATTAACAGTTTCAAAAAAACACTTTAAAACTTTACCTATTCACTTAACAAACATAATAAATGTATTGCCACTTCTTCAAGTTATTACAGAAACTCTTAAACTAAAACTGAACAGAATCATAACAGCAGTAGTAACAGGGTTTAACTTGTAAACCGATTGATGCCAGAATGCAAATAGCTGGCGGAGTGTTGGGGAGTCCTCCCCAAAAAAATTTTGAATAAAGTAAATGTGATTCCCTGCATTTTGGTGTATTTTAACAGGTTGTTAAACATCTACCTGCTTGTAAAAAAAAAAACCAAAAACAATAATAATATTTTGGAGGACCCCAAAGCACCAACATGCGGACCCCCAGGGTTTCAAGGAGCCCAGTTTGAGAACCACTGACCTAAAATATTCTGTCAGTACGCTCACGTGTCTGCAACTGAGTTCTAAAGCAACAGTGGGCAACATTTTATTCCTGAAGGTCAAATCAAGATAGCTAAAGCTATCCTATACCTGTCCTATAGCAATCCAGGGTTCATATTTCATTTTCTTTGAGACAGATCATCTTTATGACTTTTTTCAGGCCTTTTTCATTTTTTTAGCATCGTTTGCATGTTGATTAAAAATTTGATGCCAATGCTCTTTATGAATATAAGACACACGTTCAGTAAACTGGCTCTTGTGACAATATGTGTTAGTCTAAATGTACAATCAAACAAAAAAAGCAGTAATTTGTTGGCTTTTTGTAGTCTTTAAGGTTCAATCTGCAGCAACTTAATGTTTTAGTCTATACTTTTGTCCAAGATATTTAATTTAAACTTCCTTAAGCTTCATTGATACAATTAAAGTTATTATTTCACATATTGAAATGTTTTCTTTTCAAACAAATCGTTGGGGGCCAGACAGAGATTGTTCAAGGGCCACTTCTGGCCCTCGGACCTTATGTTGCCCATGTCTGATCTAAAGGAATGAGTTCCTGCTGAGTCTCCATCATCATCACAGCCATTTGTTGCCGAGTGGTTTTCTGACTGAAGCAAAAGGAAAAAGTGCTCAAATGGTTTTATTTAGTGGCAGACTCATGATTCTAGAGATTCACTGTTAACTTTTACCATCACTGATCAACTCCTTCTATTTTACTCCATGTGATCTGTGACTGTGTCATGACTGATTCCTGCAAATGATAAAGAAATCATACATCCTTCCATAAAGTACTATAGTATATGACAGAAAAATTCACCATCCCTTTAAAACATGCATTCATTTACTTGACCTGCTTTTCTGTGCAGGGTCAGAGGGAGCCTGTTTCCAGCAGTCTCTGTGGAAGACACTTGGACAGGTCACATCCATCACATGACTCTTCAAATATTCAGATGTTCTGTAGTTATCAGAGTAAACATTTTTACATGTAGAATACCGTAGTTATGAAAACTGAATTTGTTATGAATGCTTGAGTACCACACAGGCTGACAAGATGTCACCAGTAGGATTTCTACACCTTGTTGCTTCTTTTACTTAGTTTATTTAGTCCTAAAATACACTATTTGTGTCTTTAAATCCCAATTTGAGTCCTTTAAAGCAAACCGCCCCGTCTCCTGGTCGTTGGTGTCCTCCGATGCTGCAGCAACATGGCCGCCCTGAACATGATGGCAGACTAATAACTGCTGATTGAAACTGGGACACACCAGGCGGCCTTTCACAGCCGCAATGACTCAGACGAATGCACGTCCAGGAGCCAATAGACTGAGGTCAATAATCATTATTTGTTGCCTTCATTACAAGAAAACAACAAATGTTAAAACAATTAATCCTTATGCAGGCCACTTGCATGGAAGTGAGGAAACAGCATAGGCTGTAAAGTTCTCCTGCTTGCTTTATTTCAGGATGAATCCCCGGATCACAGTCAAATTCAGGCATCGATTAGAAGCTGTGTGTGACACTTTACTGGATGTGGAACCAGAGAGAGGGGGGGGGGGGGGGGATCAGCACACAGGCAAGCAAAATGACCGTAGGATTGATTTCAATACAACTAATGACAGCAGAGGTAACCTACACACACACACACACACAATCCAAGCCATCCCAGGGTTGAGCACTCGCCTGTAGCGTTGCAAAGAGGTGTGACCAGGATGAGACCAGCCTTCTACAAGTGGCTTTGAATGCTAATGGCCTCACAAATGGGTCAGAGAAGCTCAATGAGAGCTAACTCGGGCCGACTGGTTCTGAAGGAACAGGTTAGCACCAGTCAGGTTCTGGAGCCACAGAGGCCAGGTGTCTGACTGCTCCCACTCAAACAGCAGAGCTGCTAATGAGCTCACGGTGGTGCAGCAGTTTTATGCAAGTGGGTCAGTGTGCGAGGACAGGAACTGGGTGGAGGGTGTTCAGACGACTTTCAGAACAGAGAACAAAGAACCCAAGAAGCATGAGATCCATTTCCTCCATCTGTGAGCTCCCAGTAACCTTTTCAAATACCACAAGTATGTTTGCAGCATCTCATTTGGAGCAAGTGTCACAACAGGAAGTCTTCTGGAGTTCAAAATCCACAGAGGATTAATTTATGACTTCACCAAAATAAAACCGTGTGCGCTGAAAGTAAAATAATGCATTTATTTAAAGGAATATACATTATTTGTATTGTTTCATTGGGTTGACATTAGATCTGATGGTTCATTTTCAGGCTCTGAACTGTCTTTGTGGCAACAACGCCACCTTCTGGTGAAAACACATATTTCATTTTTTTTTTTTTAAAAGGTTAAAAGAAAAACAATTTGACTTCTATTCTGAAGCTGTATTTTCAGCTTCAGAATAGAAGTCAAATTGTTTTGTTTTTTTATTTATTTTTTTTTTTTTTG